GGGTATGGAGGTTAAGTGAGGCTGTGGGTCCAAACCACTGCACAGACTGCACGATCTTCATGGTAGATAAGTGAGGATGGTGTCCCTAACACTTGTGTTACCTTTTTTTTTGCAAATATCCTGTTCAGGTCTTTGGTAAAACACAGGTATGCATGTGACCTAAGCCCAATGTAGATGCTCTTATTTTCAGATGTGAATGTGATCGTTTTCAAGACTCTTACACTTCCCCAGTTTTTGTTTAGTAGAATGTAATTTGTCCCTAATACTAGCTGGCAGTAGTTTTCCCTGTGTTCCTGCATAAACAGGATAGGCATGTTTCACTCATTGGTACACAGATTGCAAGTGTCCAGGTAGTTTATCACATTGCTCTACCTGAATCATTAACCACGGGATATTTGCAGGTATCCTTTCAAGAGAGAAAGATACATCTTACCAGTGTTTAACCTCAGAGTTCTACAGTAAAGCACTAAAGCTGATGGGTCCCAAAATGATCCCAGTGACAAGGGAATTTGTACCAAACATATTTTCCACAGTGTGTTTTTTGGGGGCATTCCAAGAGATCACATTGAGCCTATCAATGGCAAGTAATGGGTCAGGCGACATTGCTGGCATTGAGGTAAGGGCTGCTGTGGGCCTAAGCACAGCACGGACCATCCGATCCTCACACATCTGGGAGAGGGATGATGTGTGCTAATACTTCTTGTTACCATGAATCTGTTGCAGGTATTCAGGTAATATATATGATGGATTTCTTGCCAATTCTATTAACCATGAGTTTACACTTTTAGAGAAAATTTAGATTTTATACTATGAATATTAAAGGGTTGCAGGCACACAAGTACTTATCGTGGCTTCCCCCAACAAAGTACAAACCATAGGTTTTTCACAGGTGTCCTGTCTAGGAGTGATGGTTTTGTGATACTGGTGTAGACTTTGGATTACTGCAAGTACACATGTAGAATTGATGTGTTTCATAATGAATAAAGTTATTCACAGATGTCCTGGTATAGAAAGTTATGTCATTTACACACACTTCAGAATGACAGGGTTCTGTGAGGAAATCATTAATACAGGACGCTGCTGTTGTGCAGGTAAGTGGCAAAGCGGGCTTAAACCACAGCACGAGCCATCTGATCTCCAGATCGCTAAGTGATGATGGTTTCCCTAACAACAGAGGCCACCCGTTTTCTCTGTAGAAAATCAGATAGTAAATGATAGCCCTTACCAATCTAGCAACTTGAGGTTATTCATTTTATATTTTAGAGAATATTTTTGTATATCCCTGTGAGTGATGAGGGATTGCTAGTATCTAGGTAATTATTGTAACGTTCTGAACTAAAGCAGTAACCACGGAAATTTTTTAAGTGTCCCATCATGAATTGTTGTCATATCTGATAATGGTCTTGACCTTGGAGTTCTGCAAGTGTCCAGGTAGAGTTGATGTTTTCTTTAAAAAAGAAGTGTCCCAGGTAATCTGAGGTGTCCTGCTGCAACAAGTTCCATGTTTTCACAAACATGTCATATATTCTTCCAGGTCTTGTGATGAGATCATGATGAACTTACATGGTTAATGCCAGACATTTCTCATATCCGGGTAAGTGACGATGTGTATCTCCACCACATCAGACCATGTGATACCCCCATGTCCAGGTAAGTGACATCGATCAGCTAAACTTGTTTTAGCACATGATTTATTTCAGGTATTCAGGTGAGCAACACTAGTGTTTTATCATTCCGGCAATCACGGTAACATAACATTTTATATTTTGAGAGACTTATATTTAACCATGTGAGTGTTGAGCCATTTGGGGATACCCAGGTAATGCTGATGGAGCTATGTGTCACAGGAGTAACCATGGTGTTGTCACAGGTGAGCAGGGAAGAGAAGATGGTGTTTAGTACAAAGGCACAGACCTTGGAGTGCGGCATGAATTCAGGTAAAGTTAAGGATGGGTCCTGTAGTGATGGCACTGAACAAGGTTATTTGCAGTATCTAGTAGAAAAGGTGGGCCCACAGATTTTAACATTGTTTACAATATGCTTTTCACGTTCCTGACAAAGATGTCATGGTAAACATTGTGATCCACAAGAGGACTTTGCTTGTATCCGGGTAAGTGATGATATGTGCTATTTAGCAGCCTATGAACAATCTGATCATCAGAAATATATAAAAGTGTGGATAGGACTCCTAACTTTTCCACAACTACACTTTTATGCAGATATTCATTGGGACTTTGTCCCAATCACTGGCAGTAAGCATTGGCCTATATTTTTTGTTAAGCGTTCACATGCAATGTGGGCTTAACCTTAGATGTGACATGAGGGTATACATGTATGTGGCTGAGTTTTCCTACTATTTTGTACCACAGTATTGATCAAGAGATCTGCACAGGTACAAAGAGATGATGCATTTCTGCCCCTGGTGAGTTCTGAAAGATCCAGGGCGTGTTGATGCTACTTCCCTAAATGACGTACATGACTAAGACCATATGCTGTTGGCTTGTTTGTTTTTACTTATTTCTTTGTTTTTGTTGTTAATAGGTAAGGCAAGCTGTGTCCTTCAGTCCTTAGACAAACTTGACATCCACTCTAAGTTCTGAAGACCCCCAAGGGCCCTCTGCTCTATTCTCCACTTGATACAGAAATCCTCTCTACTGCTGTATATCATAGAAAATCAATTTTAGAATCAAACACATCTAGATTTAAATCCTGGTTCTGCTACTTCCTAGTAAACTGCTTCACTTCCCCAAATTCCCATTTCTTCTCTGTGAAATCGGAACAACACCCAACTGCAATAACATTTGTGAAACATCGCAGGTCATTAGTAACTGCGACACCACCTGCTTTCTTTTCTGAGTCTTTCCCCATTCTGGCCCTACTCCTCAGAACACACTTAAGTCAGAAGCATAGTGCCGGAACAGCAATCTGCCCAGCCCCACGGGAGCTATCACCTCACAAAACCCAGATCATGAGGATCACTCAAATCAAGGGGTGTTTACTGAGCATCTACCGATGGCCAACTGATGACCAAATTGACTTACTTCTGTGCATTTTGCACTTGCTTTAGTGCTAAAAGGATAACAAAAACTGTCAAAGACAAAACCTAAATGTTAACTTAGGTGGGCTTGAGTCAGGAAATGGAGCTTATTTTCCTGGGCTCAGAACTAACACCTTCAGACAGTGGCCTCTAAATCTAACACTTTGGTGAGAGAGCAGGGGAAAAAACGTGACAGGGACATATCTGCAGAGCCAGCAAACTTTTTCTGTAAAGGGTCAAATAGTAAACATTTTAGGTTTTGCAGGCCATGCAGTCTCTGTGGCAACTACTCAACTCTGCCATTACAGCATGACAACAGACGAAGATAGTACCCAGAAGTGTGGTTGTGTTTCAATCAAACCTTATTTACAAAAGCGGAGAGATACTGCTCTTGCTAAAGGCAAATGGCCCTTTCAATTCTTTGCATATCATTCAGGACATTTAATAAGATCTGGCAGAGTTTGCCAGTTGTTCCCCAATATCCTCCCCTTCCCCCTAAGTAATAGGGTCACCAAATGTTAACTAAGCACTGGTCACACAGAATAAAGACTACATTTCCTAGCTCCTTACAGCTAGATATAGCCTTGTATCTCAGGTTCTAGTCAATGGGATGCAAGTAAAATGAAAACATGCAACTTTGGGGAAGTGTCTTTATAGAGGGTGGAGGTAGAAATGATGTTGTTCTCCTGCTCTTTCCTTTTTCTTGTAGGAACACAAAGGAGAGTTTGGGTCTTTAGGCCTAGCCACTGGTGACCATCTCAACTCTGTCTTGACTAGGAGAAAGAATTAACCTTTTCTCCTGTTTAAACTGTTATCCAACAGGGTCTGGCCCTGAGCAGGTCTGCCTAGGGCCAGCTGTAGTGTACGGGTTCTTGACTTTGTGTAGGAAAGATTTCACAAGACCAGGTGACTGATAGGGTATATTTATTAAGGCTGGGGACAAAGAAATAAGGATAGGCTTAGCAAAAAAGAAGCAACAAGAAAGCCTAGGCTGGGCTGCCTTAGCTCACTGGGAACTCAGAGAAAAGGGGCTTTAGGGACAGGTTCAGGGGATTAGCCTGGGACAAGCTGCCAGAGTTTAGGAGACACCTGTCTGTAAAGACAGAAGTGGAAAAGGAGGAAGTGGTGGAGAGGAGAAGAAAGGAAAGAAAATGGGGAGGTGTGCTCTCCAGAGGAAGGGCACGCCCTGGGTCCTTTATCTGAGGATTATATCTCTTTCTTGCAGGTGGGATTCTCAGGGGAGATCTCAGGGGAGGGTGTCAGTAAAATATTCATTAGTTCTCCAGGTGTACCCTTTCAGGGTTATATACTCTTCTCTGATTGGACAGTGGCAGGGTCTTTAGTCATTGCACTTAGTCCTGGCATCGCCCACATGGTTTTGCTGCTTTTCTGGGCCTGGAGCTGAAATGCAACTGAGGCCTAGATGTTATCTTCTCCAGGGAGGAAAGGCCAGGGGAGAAGGAGGTAAGGTCCTTGTTTTCCCAGTTTTGCCCCCTGCCAAGCACTGCGGTCTTCCACCCTGCTAAACATCCACACCTGGCTGTAAACTGCTTAGCCGCTGGGTTTAGCTGTCTGTCTCAGTTTCCCTGTTCCACTTGCCAAGGGATTTTCCTAGGTTCTCATTATCCTGTTTCAAAACCAGTTATTTTGCATTTTTCATCACATCCTAACTCATAAACAAGGAAAGAAAAGTTAAAAACAGCTTCTTTGTAACTCTCTCTAGTTTTGTATTAATTGTCAATCTGGTCATGTACAGAAAAAGTCTTTCTTTGTACATAGTATGTTCAAACCACAATATAATCCACATATAAACAGATCATAAAACCATGTGTGGGTATAGGCCTATACACTCACTAGCCTATAGCCTATTAGAAAAACTAGCCTATAACTAACACTGGAAATCAAAATGGTCAAGCTGAGCACAATAACAATGTTAGCTCTGTCGAAGGGATGATCACCTTACCTGATGGTGAACTCTAGCAGCTCCTGGGTTCCCTGAGGGTCCAGGTGCTGAAGACTGTACACCCTCTCCAGGCTCTGCTGCAGGAACTGATGGGAAGGATCCTCATGAGCCATGATATTGGGGGAAACGGCTGATGACACCAGTTTTCTACCTGGTAACTAAGCAAACGCAGTGGGGTATATAGTGCCAGCAAATTCTGTGGCTCAACTTTTCATAACACAAACCAAAACAAAAGTGAGCCAAACAAAACAAAGGGGATAAAGGCTAAATTATTCTGTAATTAACTATCTCTCCTTCCCCAGCTTCAGTGGGAGAAAGAGAAAGAGAGAGAAAATGAACATGGTCTACTCAACATAGCCTTAAGCTGCAAGGAGGAAAAGAAGAGAGAATGGTATACTATTATTTTCTATTGCTAACTGACATAAATGGGCTAACTATAGAAATGGGGCTAAAAATTAATGTTATCACATTTATTTTTAAACTTTAAACTTTATTTGAGCTTTCACAACACAGAAGAGTAATGATTTAAATTAGTTTATATAGTATACTATAAAAGGTTTTACATAATGATAATTATAATTCTTATTCTTACTATTAAAAGTGGTATTTTTTCAAAAAAAGGGTGGGGAGGGGGGAGCCAAGAGGATTTCACTTTTGATTATATATCTTCTATACAGTTTAAATTTTTGAACATGTACATATTGGGTTGGCCAAAAAGTCCGTTTAGTTTTTTTCTGTAAAATAAATGACACATTTTTCATTTTAACCAATGACTTTATTGATTTGGATATTTTGAGTATATCAGCTATCTCCCATGTGTTATAACATTGATTATTCTCAATTAATGTCTCAATTTGATCGTTATTAACTTCAACTGGTCTACCCAACCATGGAGCATCATCCAACAACAAATCTCCAGCATGAAACTTCACAAACCACTTCTGACACATTCAATCAGTCACAGCACATTTCTCCATATACTGCACATTTTTTTTTTGCATTTCAGTTGCATTTTGCCTTTTTTGAAATAATAAAGCATAATATGCTGAATATGTTGCATATTTCTTCCACCATCAATATTAAAATGGCTCCATAAAATTTCAATTCTGATTAAATTTTTTTAATGCACACTGATATGACAGCTGTCACGACAGAGTCTAGCAAAATTGTTTCGAATTAAGTTAAAAACAACTAAGCACTACTAGAGCCATCTTACTGAAAAAAAAAAAAAACAAAACAAAAACAAATGAACTCTTTGGCCAACCCAATATATTATTCTAAATAAAGTTATTTATAGTAGCCTAAGCTGGGACTAGTTAATACAAATAAAGAGCTTTAAAAAGTGCCTGATTCAGGAAGTGTTTTGTATTATTATCATTATAGTTCATTTAAAAATTTTTTTTCTTTTTGCCCTGGCTGGTGTGGCTGAGTGGACTGAGTGCCAGCCTGCAATCTGAAAGGTCACTGGTTCGATTCCCAGTCAGAGAACATGACTGGGTTTTGGGCCAGGTCCCCAGTTGGGGTGTGCAAGAGGCAACAGATCAATATATCTCTTGCACATTGATGTTTCTCTCCCTCTTTCTCCTTTGCTCCCCGTTCTCTAAAAATAAATAAAAATATATTTCTAAAAAAATAATTTTTTTCTGTACCTCTAAGCTTTTAAAAATAATAGTTTTTACTATTAAAAATAAACTCTTTGAGAACCATGGCTTTATGTATTGCAACTGTTAAAATACATCATGATCTACTCCTTGGTTAGATTGTTCTGGATTCCCTTTTTCTTGCCTAACCAAGCATAATATCGTAGGGACATTTACAAAATGAATCTTCTTAAAAGATAAGAAGTTAAAGTATGACACAAAGGGAAAGAGCCCAAGAGAGAAAGACAATGAAAGAAGGAGTTTTCAGAAAAGAATACAGTCTGCTTTCTGCTATTTAACAACCACAAAGGACCAAAAAGTCAAAAACACAAAAACCAAGGACAAATGATGTTTCCGACATACCCTCAGGGCAGGAACCAGATGAGAAAGACTGTCCCGGAGGTAGGCGTAGTGCCGGAAGGTATGATCCGAGAACAGCGCAGGCATGGTTGGGCAGGTTTTAGCGGCGTTGAAGATAAGCACCAAAACTGCAATGTCTGATGGATGAGTGAGTTAAGTAAAACTGGAGGCATAGAAAGAAGAGTTTGGCCAGAATCTGGTGTTCCCTCTTCCCACCCCCAATATTCTCATGAATAACTGTAATTTCTAATAAAGAAATGCAAATTCTAAGACAGATTACACTACTTCAAACTACCCCAAATACTAAAGGTTTTTAAAAATAAAGCCTGATGCTGATGAGAATACTTACAAATGGAAACATTTGGTACAATGGCTACTAAAATATATATTGGTACAATCCCTTTGGTAATAATTTGGTACTAGACAATAAGAGTCTTATGAATGTTGAGTAATTCCACATCTCAAAATCTATTCTAATAAATAATCAAATAGCACAAAAAAGTTTATAATAGCAAATAATCAGAAATAACGTATAAGTCCAAAACCAGGAGAATAACTATACAACTTGTGCTTCATCTACTTGATGGAGTATCATACAATCCTCAAAAATTATAAAGAATTTATGATATTGTATCATAAGCATTTTGTCACAAATAAAAATAGCAGGTTCTAAAATCTATATAGGAATTGAGAGAGAATACAATGGTCATCTGAAAATAGCCAGTTATTTGGCTGATTCCTGGTTCCCAATAAATACCCCTAAACTTCACCAAGGATCTGCCACAGTAAAAAGAACCATGGGAAAGTGTGGATGCACTGATATAAATGTATTCCCATGACTGGAAAACGATCGAATTGCACAGCATCCTGTCCATGGCTATCACAAACCCACTGAACTTGTAACAGGGGCAGAGGAGCTAAACCCCGTCTGCTCATTCAGGTTGCAGATCAAATTAAACATGGAATAAGACATAGGAGAAAGTCCATAGTCTTTAACACCAAAGATATCTGGGGAGGTAGTTAGCCTCTCTGAGCTTCAGTTTTCTCATTTCTAAACCGGGAATAATTCCTCTTTCCCGGGTTGCTTGGAAGACCAGTGATAAAAATGTCCGAAGCATTTAAACAGTATGTGGAATATAGCAGGTGCTCAATAAATGGTGTAAAAAATTATTAGTATTAAATGGCAAAGGTGAATTATTGTGAAATCAAGAAAAACAGCTGAGAATAACTACAAGGCTCCCTCAGCATATACACTTACCTGAAAGAAATGAAAAAAATAAAACCAGACTAGCTACGCTACATTACAGAAAAAAATGCTAGAATTCCACCAAGTCAGCAGAACCTGCCCCAGGCACAGAGGATACACGCTGGATCATCCATGTCTGGTTCAGCTGTATCAAAATACGGGTGGGTGCTCAGGAGCTCTGGCACCAAGGGAAGCACCAGGGTTGGATGTCGACTTCCTAGAAACTTCAGGCATCTGAAATAAAGTGAGAGCCCACTTTAGTAAGTTAATAAATGCTTTTAAAAAGTACTAGGATTTAAAATCAGAAAACCTGATTCAGACTTGCAAGTTCTCAATCATCTACTTTTGCTACCTGAGTTCAGATAAGTCATTCAATTATTTTGAAACAGTTAATTCATCTAAAAATTGGTTATTAGGAAAACAAAAAAGCTGATATAGCAGATATTACTCCTGGTTATTTAATCGATGGCCATCTTCCCCATCGTCCTTGCCAAGAGAACCCTGATTTTACTCAGGTATCAGGTAGGTAGTAAAGTGCTCAGAGAAGGCTGAACCAAGGGCTCAGCCACAACTGGTCTAAACCCATCAGGGTCACCCCATCCCAATTTTTCAGTGACTGGTGTGCAGGCAATCAAGAAATCCAGTTCTGGTCCACGGAGCAAGCAGAAGTGTGCTGAAGAGCTTCTTAGGGCTATCTGTCATATAGTAAGACCTCAACTGGCTATTAGTTAGCTATTAACTGGCTATCAGTTAACTATTATGACTACATTAAGGTCCTTTATAAACTATCAAGAACTACATGTGTGTTGATAATTATGCATTTTTATTATTTTGTTAAGTTCTAGTTTAGAAAGTGTGCTAAATTGAAAAGAAATATAAATCTTAATTTCTGTTCTCAATGAGTTTATAATCCAGCTGAGGCAAAGATTAACTATCGAATGATACTCTGCTTTCTGTCAAACGTAGAAGAGATTACTATGATCAGAGAAAGTTTCACAAAGGAGACAGGATTTCACTAGGAATTAATTGGTAAAAGAAAGCAAATACCACAAACAAATTCATGGCTATATAGGTTATGAAAGGCATCACACATTTAAAAACCCTTGAAATTGTTACAAAAGTTTTTCCTAGTCCTGTTTTACCTTATATGTGAAACCAATTTAATTCCTAAATTTCTGACCTCCCCCAAACTTTTTATTTACTGTGCCTCAGGGGACACTGTAAAGGTTGTAGTTTGGCCTCAACATGTCACTCCTTTATTTTATCTCTCATTCTATTCAGATCTCACATGGAGCATAAAAGGGCTATTAACTAAGTCTCCTCAGAGACCCCTAAGTACCTGGGCTTCTCTAAAGCCAGACTTCAAGTCTGACCTGTAGTATTTTTTACTATCTCACCTACCTCCACATCTACACATTTCTTTCTATTCCCCATTCCAGCTGTTTGAGCGCTAGGTCCCTGAGTTAAATTTGTTTTTAAATCTCCACAGCACCTATCACAGTGACCTAGTGTTTGATAAGCACTTACTGAATGAACTAAAGGTGTATAAACAGAACCAAGTATCTCCTTCGAAACTTTCATTTATATGCCTATCTTTAGCAAGGTCTGAAAAACATGCCACTGTGACTCTTCAGTCTTTTATCATATATATATTTTTGATATTGCTGAATAAAGCCACCATTCATGATAAGAAATGAAAAAAAATCAGGTAATAATTAGGTCCCTTCAATATCTTTTGGAGCACTGTGACTTGAAAGAGTTTTCTGTCTACAGTCATCCAGTACTGACAGTCTTAATTAACAAATAATCTGGGTAAACCAAATAACCACAAGTCTCATTTTAAGGCAGGAAGAATGTTCTGCTAAACACTGTAACAGTCCCTTCCATCGAGCAGAATTTATGTCTGCGTCCCCAAGGAAGCAGCTGATACAGTGATTCTCTCACCCCAGTCCCCACGCACCAAAGGACTGAGTGCTCCCTGAAGACGATCAGTGAATGTACACTGAATTGAGATGAACTGGACTTCACACATGAAGAAATAGCAAAACAGGTAACCCAGATATCAAAAACGTTACCTGGAGTAAGACTTCCCTGGTATTTTCAGTTTTTAATCTATCTTCCAAGTACCTCATTTGACCAACTTTTTCTACTCTTAGTAACAAACATTTTTGAAAATCAAGAAACTACACAGTTGGAGTGATCTCATCACATAAGCTCGTTTAAATATGTGGAACACACACACTTTTATATTGTAAGAAAGTTCTTCTTCAAGCAATAATTCATTAAAAGTGTTAACAGTCTGCCTCTAGTCAATAAAGTTAGAGGTAATCAGGGAAAAAATGACAGATTTTCAACCTGCACACCGAGTGCCAGCCCTGCCTCTCTCACCTCTACAGCGATGGCAGTGATCCTGCACAGAATACAAACTAGACAAGGCAACGATTAACACTACACAGGAGAAAAGGAAATCTAACCAGCTCATGCCTGCGCCTCCCACACACACCACAGGGCTTGGCACAAAGAAAGTAGATAGCAGGCATATATTTGCTAGGTAGACAAACGAACACAAAAAAATAAAAACAAACAGTATTCCATTCAGGAATCACACTCCTGAGAGTTCAGTTAATTTGAATACAATGATCCAATGAAAATGTTAACACTGTACATTTCACACATCATTTGACTCAGTGAGCAAATCAGCAAAAGGCCCTTACTTCCATATGGAGTCCCTGTCGGTAGGGTACTTGGTTAAATTTTTCAGCAGCTCCACCAGTGCAAGATGGATTCCCTCTTTGGTTGAAACATTAGTACAGCACAAAAGTTCATGAAGGGCCTCTCTAATATCTCTGGATGAATCCTTAAAAACAAAAAGATGACAATAATAATAACAGCAGTCGCTGTAGATTAGTTATTATGGAGAAGTGTACAAGTTAGAAAGGATAAAAAGTCAATTTGGGGGGAAAAGAGAGGCTGGTAGTTAAGGCAGAGGTGACATATGAACTGAGATTTGAAGAACTCGTTCATTTGTTTACACGTTCAACATTTATTTTTTTGCACTTAGTAAACAAACATTTATCAAGCTCCCACTATGCACCAAGTGCTAGAGATGTAGCAGTAATTAAAATCAAATCCCTGCTTTCAGCAGTTTCATTCTAGTGCAAATGCAACAATGACTAAATAGATACAAGGTCTGCCCAGAAGGCGTCCATCCATGTAATATGAAAAATAAAAACGTGCTGAAGAAGATACAAGATACAAGAAACACTGTACATAGGACAATGATGCCTCAGTCCTCGTCAAAGTAGCACCTTGGGACTTCACACAGTTCTCCCAATTGCCATCAATGTGCCTGTCATATTTTCCTGAATCTTACCAATGGTCTGGAATCTCTTTCCTTTCAAAGGTGATTTTAGTTTTGGGAAAAGCCAGAAGTTACAAGGCGCCAAATGTGGTATGTAGGGCAACTAAGTCACCTGGGTGATTTGATGTTCCACCATAAAACTCTGCACAACATGATTCCTGAGAGGGCGTGTTGTCATGACGAAGCTGCCAATCACCAGCTGCCCAGAGCTGTAGCCTTCTGAAGCATCAAAATAGTTTCCATGGAGGGATGTTCAAGCTTACTGCAAAGTCTGATGCAGATTTGTTGCTCTACTTACTCAGTCATTTTGAAGGCGATGGCCACACAGTACACATGCTCGTTCAACAATGTTTACCGTCCCCGCTGACTAATATAGTGAAGTCAACATTGTTCAGCATGTGCATTCCAGTCCATTCTCCTTGCCTGCCAGGTTACATCAACGTTGCTGCACACCATTCTCATTAAGTTAACCATGGCTGCACTTTTTCTGGACAGACCTCATAGCTCAGGTAGTGTTAATGATCATACAGTGTTAAGTATTATGAAGAAACTACAAAGCAGGTTAAGGGAAAGAGTGCTGGGTTAGCTGGGGGTATTTTACACCAGATAATCAAAGGGAACAGCACACACAGTGGCCATGAGGTGGAAGTGTACTGGAAAAATGGCAAGGAAGCCCATGTAGCCAGGCAGAATAATACAAGAGAGTAGTAAGAAACGAGGTCTGGGAAAAGGCCTCTTCTCTCCCCAACAACTGCGAACCTCACTAAAAGGATTAGAAAAGGTCACCAGAAACTTCTTAATGCTAAAGTCAGTGGACACATCAGTTCTACTCTTATTTAAATATCTCCATAGCATTTCTGCCAGTTCTTCAATTTTTTAATATAGACCATTTGAAACATAGATAAAAGTAGACACAATAAATCCCCCCATTTCAACAATTAATGCTGACCAACCTTGTTTCAGCTATACCTTTACTGACTCCTCTAGATTAAAGGCTATCACAAAAATCGTAATATTTCTCTGGTAAATATTTTCATAAATATATATTTTAAAAATAATTATTCTAAATAAAACACTAAACTAATACTATACCAAAACATTTAATAATTCCTTAATTTCAAATACGTAGTCAGTACTCAAATTTCTCCAGTTGACTCAAACAGTTTTTGTTCTAATCACACTCTGATTATGGTCCACTTGCTGTGATTGGGTAATAGGTCCCTTAAGTATCTTTTAATACAGAAAATCCCTTTACAGCCCTGGCCAGTGTGGCTCAGTTGCTTGGGCATCATCCCAAAAAGCAAAAGGTTGCTGGTTCAATTCCCAGTCAGGGCACATGCCTAGTTATAAGGTCAGCCCCCCTGGGCATGTATGGAAGGCAACCAACCAACCAATGTTCTCTCACACATTGATGTTTCTTACCTTCTCTTTCTCCCTCCTTTCCCCACTCTCCAAAAATCAAAAATAAAATATTAAAATCCCTTTACATCTCATTTTTTATTTTTCCCTTTTAATTTCTCCTCTGTACCTGTGATGGTGTAGTTAGATTTGGAGGCCTGCTAGATTCAGGTTCAATATTTTTTATAGGTAATACTTCAGAGGTAATACTGTTTGCTTCCCTCAGGAACTATATGATGTCTATTTCTTCTTGTGATGTCATAACCACTGACGAATTTAAACATATTTGAAGTTATAATCCCTAATGATGTGTTTCACCTTTGGCCAGTGAGAAGATATTGAAGTTGCCTCCTGGTTTCTTTAATAAAACCCTGGAGATCTTTGATAGGCAATATTTTCTTTCTGTATAATGAGGTGGTACAACCTCATCTTATTACATTTCCTGTGCCAGACCCAGAATCAGTCATTTCTCTGAAGAAATGTTGGTTCCTTTTAGTGGAAAATGGGATCTACAAAGCATTTTTTTTAGAGTTAGATTTACTGCATATAATTTACATTCTGCAAAATTTATCCTTTTTAGTGTACACTTCTGTGAGTTAACAATACATTTAGTTATGTAACTACCCTCACAATCAAGATATAAAACATTTCTATCACCCAAACTTCTCTGGTGTCCCTTGGTAATCTACCCATCACCCCCAGCTTCTGGCAACCATGATATATTTTCTGCTTCAGTTTTGTCTATCCTAAAACATCATATAAATGAAATCCTCAAGTATGCTGCTTCTTGAGTCTAGCTACTTTCACTTAGCATAATGCATCTGAGATACATCCATAGTGTTATGAGTATCCGTAGTTCATTCCTTTTTATTACTGAGTACTATTCCGTTGAATAGATATACCACAGTTTATTTACCCCTTCAACTGAAGGGGTTTGTCATGTTTCCAGTTTGGATCTATTATACCTAAAACTGCAATAAACATTTGCATAGATGTTTTTCAAACATAAGTTTTCAATTCTCCTTAGTAGACACTTCAGAGTGGGACTGTGGGATCACATGGTAAGTGTACGTTAAACTTTATAAGAAACTGTCACTGGTTTCCAAAGTGGCTCTACCATTTGCATTCCCATCAGCAGTGTATCAGAGTGCCAGTTCCACCCTATCCTCACAGCACTTAGTATTGTCAAGGTTTCTTCTTTTTGGATTTTAATATCACACTGGGGCATAATTTGCATTTCCCTGATGACTAAGGTTTATCCCCTTGAGAAGCTCATAATCTTGTAGTATAAAGAATTAAATAAGCCGAACACATACACAGGGTATTAAAAAATTCAGAGAAGTGCTATTTAGCCCACATGACATAACTCAAGAAAAATCTTAATAGAAGTGCTAAGGAACTGAGAGAACTTTACAACCAAAGAAGCCAGTCTGTTTTCTGAAGTATGGAGCAGAAATCCATAGTAAGTGCTAATGACTAAACATCCCATTATATTCCTTTCACAATATTTGAAAAATAAGCAACAACAAAAAAGGAAACCAGAGGCCCAATCTCACTTACTAACATTCTGGAAAACATGAGTACTCACAAATAAAATCCAGACACTTCAGAAAAATAATTCAAAACAACAGCCTGGCAGGCAAATTTGTGTTTATAACATAGCACAGGCACTTGCTAGCTGTGTGACATTAAATAAATTACTTTTTTCACTGTAAAACTCCAGGGTTGAATGAACTGACCCCTTAGATCCCTTCCCACTATAGCATCCTATGATTCACCAGAAGAAAGAAATCAGGCTAAGAATTACTTAGTCCCTGTCTTATCTACAGCCACTTCCCTCCTCTCCTCCATCTCTTCAACTCTGCTACAATTACAACAAATTCCTTTTAATCCCTTGAATACGGCACACTCATTCTTACCCCCGGATCCTTAGCCATTATCCCTTCGGTGCCACTCCTTCCTGAGAAAATGCCTCACTAATTCCTGCTCACCCTCTAAGTGTCCGCTACATTCCTTCTTTCTTCCCTACCTGCCCACCTTGCCTTGACAATTCAGGTTAGATACTCTCTGCAATCCCGGGGCACCCTGTCCTTTCCTCGCCATCCCGTGTAACAGTCTCCTCCATCCTGGCAGAGTTGTGCGATCAAAATGCAGACAATGCTGCCTGTATACTCCTGTGTCACCAAAACCAGCACAACACCTGGCTTAAAATAAATAAATAGCCCTGGCTGGTGTAGCTCAGTGGATTGAGCGCGGGCCTGCGAACCACACGATCGCGGTTCGATTCCCAGTCAGGGCACATGCCTGGGTTGCAGGCCGGTTCCCTGCAGGCCAGTTCCCAGCAGGGGACGCACAAAAGGCAACCATACATTGATGTTTCTCTCCCTCTCTCCTTCCCCCACTTCCCCTCTAAAGATAAATAAATAATAAAATATTTTAAAAAATAAAATTTTTTTAAAAAAAAAAATAAATAAATAAGCAAACAAGTAAGTGGTGTCCAGTAGGTATTGATGAGGAAATGAGTAACAAACTGTCAACACGCACCTCCAACACGGCCAGGACAGTGTCCAGCTGATCCTCGCGGAGCGTGATGTTGTTAGAGATTTTTCTCATGGTGTGTATGGACTGCAGGCGTACTTCCTCAATTTCATCATTAAACATGTCCACCAGAAAGTCAAGGCACTTCTCGGCAAAAGAGGGTGAGGACTGGGCCAGCATGCAGAGCGCCTCCACAGCAGCGATGCGGACCTCTGCCCAAAAGGAGACAAATAAAACTGTGCATCAAGTCAAGAGCCATGGAAAAAATCCAAGAAGAATTCCTTCATATTCGGGTTTGTCTTTTGCTCTTTACTCCTCTCACTGTATAAACTCTGTCTGAAAGGTTCCCCTCCATGCCCACAGGTTCAGCTTCCACCTTCACTTTAACCCACGAACAAGAATGTTAATATCACAGAGGTTAAGGTTTAGATCCTGACTCTGAAGACATGTGATCGAGTCACACTTTTGTCTTCATTAACTGAACTTCTTGAAAATTAGTTCTTATTTATCTCAGCATTACAATCACAGAAAAGTACTCTTTTTTAAAAGAGGCAGTTTTTAAATATTATTATTAAGAGTAGAGATAGAGTGCTTTAAAACCGGGTGGGGAGGAGCCGGGCAGAATCGTGGGGGGTTCTTCGCAGCGGAAGGGCAAGCAGGAGTCGGGCCGCAGGTTTACCTGGGCCCCGGGAGGGGTCGGGCTTCCAGGAAGAGCACCGGCGCTAGAGAGGATTGGCTGTACTCTGGCCCTCACCCTGTATATAGTCTGATCCGTAGCTTTCTAGGAAAAGCGCGGGCAACTCCGGAGACTCCAGGGACTGGAGCCTAACACCCGGGAATTCACACGTGAGATTGAGGCGCGGCTGACGCGTGTCAACAACTGAGAGAGCTGTACACTCTAAAACTCTTCTGGACTTCCGCCAAGATGGAGGTATAGGTGGATGTGCCGTGCCTTCTCACACAACCAAGTTTAGGGACAACTAAATATTAGCAACAGAAATCACAGCCAGAACACGGAAAATTGAACTTTTCGGAAGTCCGTTAACAACAAATTCTTCAGCCTGACCGGTAAGGGGGCGAAACCAGTGGCTGGTGGAGCGGGGTTGCACAGGAGGACTCGGTCAGACTGGCTCAGGTGCGGAATCCAGACTCGCGGAATCCAGGCGCAGGGTTGGACCTAGTGAGCGACCGAGCGAGTGACCAGGCGAGCGACCGGGAGGAGACAGCGGGGAAGCGGTGCTGTGTGTTGACTGTGGTCGTGCATTTGTGCACGGGCAGTCAGGCGAGGGAGTGGGCGGTTGGACTGGGCCCGGTGGGTCCCCGCGGCAAGTGGCAGTGAAGGGCGCCGCCATTTCCCCGCTCTGACCACGCCCCCACATACAGCGTCACAACCCAGCGACCTGGGAGTCCAAGGCACCGCTTCTCACACTTAAAGGGCCAGAACAGACCAAAAATGTCGCAAGATCTCAAAGCCCCGGAGCCCATAGACCTAAGCGATGAAGAAATAGCAAAACTCTCAGACGCACAGTTTAAAACACTGGTCATCAGGATCCTCACAGAACTGGTTGATTATAGCCACAAATTAGAGAAACATATGAAGGCGAAACTAATTGAAATGAACGGAATTGCACAGGAAACCAATAGCGATGAAAATGAAACTGGGACTCAAATCAATGGAGTGGACCAGAAGAAAGCAAATAATGGCCAAACAGAAAAGAGTCAGGAAGCAAGAATTCAAAGAAATGAGGAGAGTCTTAGGAACCTCCAGGACATCTTTAAACGCTCCAACATCCGGATTATAGGGGTACCAGAAGGGGGAAAGGCACAACCACCAGTGGAAAACGTATTTGCACAAATAATAAAGGAAAATTTCCCCAATCTGGCAAAGGCAATAGACATCCAGGAAATCCAGGAAGCTCAGAGAGTCCCAAAGAAGGTGGACCCAAGAAGGAACACACCAAGGCACATCATAATTACATTAGCCAAAATTAAAATGAAGGAGAGAATCCTAGAAGCAGCAAGAGCTAAGGGGACAGTCACCTACAAAGGAGTCCCCATCAGACTGTCAGCAGATTTCTCAAAAGAGACTTTACAGGCAAGAAGGGGCTGGAAAGAGGTATTCCAAGTCATGAAATCCAAAGACCTACAACCAAGATTGCTCTATCCAGCAAAACTTTCATTTAGAATGGAAGGACAGATAAGGTGCTTCTCAGATAAGATCAAATTCAAGGAGTTCATCATCACCAAGCCCTTATTATATGAAATGTTAAAGGGACTTATCTAAGAAAAAGAAGTTAAAGAAACATGAACAGTGAAAGGACAACAAACTCACAGTTATTAACAACCACACCTAAAATGAAAGCAAACTAAAAGGACAGGTAGATCAGGAGTAGAAACATAGAAATGAAGATCTCAAGGAGGGTTAGCAACAGGGGAGTGGGAGGAGGAGATGGGGGGAGAAGGTACAGAAAATAAGTAGCATAGACAGTAGATAGAAAATAGATGGGGGGGGCAAGAATAGCATGGGAAATATAGAATCTAAAGGACTTGAGACACATGGTCATAAACTAAAGGGGGGTAATGGTGGGGATGGGGGGGTATGGTGGAGGGGAATGAAGGGGGGGAATAGAACAACTGTAACAGCATAATCAATTAAAAAAAACTCTTCTTTGATTTTAAAAAAAAAGAGTAAAAACAGGCTAGATACCATGATTTTCATTTTAGATATAAGCTTCAGCAAAGTGCATTAACTTGCCTCAAAGTGAGGAAGAGCAGAGATAAGAATAGAACCCAGGTCTGATTATGCGGACCAGCATCATATGGCAGTTAAGGGTATATGCCCTGGAATGATAGAGGTTCCACAGTGAATTGTGAAGAGTAACCCCTCCACAAACTTGCACCTTAAGTAACTTAACTTCCTAGTGCCTCGATTTTCTTACCCATTCAAGGGAGATAATATTCATTTCCTTACAGAGCAGTTAGGATGACTAAATGACATTGTAAGTAAAGCATCTAGCACACTGCCTGCCATATGCTAAAAGCTCAATAAATATGAGCTACAGCAAGGTCTTAAAAACACCTTGAGAACAGAGGCATGTCTTCTACCTCTCTGCATGCTTAGCAGTGAAGTTACTGAATCTAGGAAGCCCTTGGTTCCTTCACCAACCATGTTTCCCGAGCGTGTACCACACAACAGGGAGGCCCTGTGCTAAACGCTGGGACACAGGGGAGAGATGAGGACACTACGAACAGTGCTCACAAGACTTTTATAAATGCTCATTTTGTTCCAGTGGTTCCTCCACGGTTCTGCAACACAATGTACAATTTCAAAAGAGAAGAGAAAAACAATGAAATTGTGGTTAAAACTCACTACTATAATTTGTTTGTGTAAAACATGTTTATAAACATTTTAAATGTGTTAACTGCTGGCTTTTCTTCTAGGGCTTTATCTATTATCCACACTGATTCATGTGTAACTCCTGTAACTCCATCAAAAGACTCACAGAGAAACTCCAGTCAGCATGAGATAATCCTTAGGACCTGAGATGGTAACATTCCAAACAGAAACAAAGAAACTTGCTGTTTCTCTTTGCATGTACTGCCTGCCCACAAGCAGGTAAATTAACAATTTCTACTAGACTTTTGGGGATGGTGAAGTATATTACAGACTTCTTAAGGGTCCACGGCAGAGAAAAGGAATTTGCTATGTTAGGAGGGGGAAGAACACAGTGCCTCTGGTGTCTTAACATGTGTAATTAGATCCTGGCTTTGCTACTCACTAGCTTTGTGCTCAATACTTAAGTTACAAAGACCAACAAGAACAAGACTTCTCTCAGAGCCTCCCTGCAGGAATAATTAATTGCACTACAGCATGACAAATGGTATGATGGAAAAGCACAGGGATGTAAGAAAATGCGGAAGAGGCACAAAAACCCACTCAACAGGATCAGAAGTAGTTTTCTGGAACAAGTGATACCTAAAACAAAGCCTGAAGGGGCTGCTGGGCCAGACGAGAGAAAAGACCTTCCTAGGCAGAGGAACAACATGTACAAAGGCCCAGAAGTGAGGGAGGAAATGTAACAACTAGAGGATTAAAAGTATAGGTGATACTCCAGACTACAGCCAATAAAATAATCTACTTACTTTCCACAGTTCCTTTAATTACACATTAGTGACAAACTGAAAACTGTTGAACTAAACCACATAAACATTAATAGTGATGAAATTCAACTGTAGAAACTAAAGAAAGTTGGGAGAGGGGTATAAAAGGACTAAATGTTAATGGAAAAATATATAATAGAGATTATATACTTAAAAAGAAACTAAACAAAGCAAAAATGCTAGTGGAAACAAAAATACATTCCAGTCACTTAAGATAAAACAGGCTTTAATAACTGAACTTATCTAATGCTTTTTCATAGGGAACAAAAGGAGAAGTATTAATAACTTTAACTAATTTTTACATATACAAAAAAACCTTACAGCAAATTGTATAGAATAACCCAATCCTTATACCTACTAATAGAGTACAGTGATCCCTCACCTATCGTGGGAGTTATGTTCCAGGGACCCCAGCGATAGGTGAAAATCTGCAAAGTAGAGGGGCTATATTTATTTTATTATTTATATATATTTCAAGGCTTTATAAACCCTTCCCGCATTCCTATAAACCTTTCCCACTCTCTTATTAACCTTTCCCACACTCTTATAAACACTTCATAGGCTCTTAAACACTTTCTACACTCTTAAACCTACATAACTTTAACAACATATAAAACTCTATGTGGGTACTCACCAGTGAAGTATACAGTCGTCCCTCGCTATACTGCAGATCACTTATTGTGGCTTCTCTGGTTTAAACCCACGATACAGTGAAGCCGCAGTAAGTGAACCACAACATAGCGAGGAACAATTGTACTGTCTTTCAAAATAATTTTCCTGCCCTTGTAAGAAGCAGTCCTACTGTGGGATAATATTTATAGACATTTTAAAGGCCTAGGTTCTAATTCCCTGACACAAATTTACTATAAAATGTGGGCAATCAACAGTGTCTCCCCAGGTTACTGAAAATGAGGAGACTGGAGTCAGTCATCTCAAAGCGCCGACATTCTGTTGATCTACGTGAGATGGACACCATCATATCGACAGGGCTTTGCAGGACTTCTATTACTGGCTAAGGTGTTGTAGCAAGGGCCAGATTTATCTTTCTGCGTGAAACAACTAAAAACAGAGTTAAAATATATAAAACAACAGTATTCAACCCATTAGGCACCAGGCAATAAAGGGTAGTGATCACCGAGAGGTGGGAAATAAAGGAGGCGAGTGCTACAATTATGCCGGTTTATTGTCTGGAGAGAGTTTCCAGGTTGCGGGTCTCCTGAGTTGAGAAGATAGAGCTGAGGGTCTGCAAAGGCCAATGCAGCTAGAATTCCTAGGGCAGAACACCAGAAAGAACTGCACAGAGACAGTGAGCTTGAGAAATCTATAGAGGTCTCCTCGAGTTGAAGGCTGAGTTCTGGTCTGTGAAGAAACAATCCATGGTCTGAGAAAGAACCACTCAACCAGATCAGAGGGAAAAACCTCCAAAGCACACACTCGGTCTACAACTGTTTTTCAGAGGAGTCCGTTTCAGCAGAGGACAAAAAGAAGCCCTAGCTGCTCGTGTCTGAACCTGAAATTACTGCATCCCAGAACAAAGCCCAAGAATATGTATAGTAATATGACTATGCTGTGCCTCCAATAAAGTAATATTCACAATGGCTGGCATCCAACTGAAAATTAACAGGCATGCATGGAAGCAGGAAAATATGATCCATAATAAAGAAAAAAATCAACCAACCAAAACCAACCCTGAAATCACACAGACAAGAACATTAGGACAGTTATTGTAAAAAGCACTCTCTGTTGACAAACCTACAGAATGCAGATATTATGTATAAAACCATATTATGTAGATATGGGGACAATACTAAACAAACCCACATTCTCACAGAATTTCCAGGGATGAGAAACTACAATGTCTGAGATGAAAATACACTGAATGGGATTAACAGCACCTTAGACACCGCAGAAAAAAAGATTAGTAAACTCCAAGACAAAGCATACATATCCAAAATGAAACAAAGAGAAAAAAGACTAGGAGAAAAAAAGAAAACAGAGCACCAGTCAACTGCAGGACAATTTCAGTAACCTAATTGGAGCATTGGGCCAGAAAGCGATTTAAAGAAATAATGACCAAGGACTTTCCATAGTTTCAAAAAGCTCAACAAATTTCAAGCATAAGAAACATAAAGAAAATTAAATTTCCACCCCCCTTAGTTCTCATCCCTGTGTCCTTCCTATGGGAGGGAGGTGGGGAGCAAGAGGCGGGGGAGGCTGGGATGGGAAAAATAGACAAAAAACTGTACTTGAAAAATAACTAAATAAAATTTAAAAAAAAAAAAAAAAGAAAATTAAACTAAGACACAATGAAATTAAATCATTTAAAACCATTGATAATAAGAAAACCTTAAAAGCATCTAGAAAAAACATATCATGTACACAAGAACAAAAATGTTTTTTAAATGACAGCAGACTTCTCAACAGAAACAATACAAATGAAAAACTATGGGATACCTTTAAAAGACTAAAAAACAAAACAAACAAACAAAAAAACCCCCCAAACCCGCCAACCCTATTAATCTAGAATTCAATTGCCAGTGAAAATATCTTTCAAAAATGAAGTTGTAGGGATGGGAAAAACAGACAAAAAACTGTACTTGAAAAATAACTAAATAAAATTAATTATTAAAAAAAATGAAGTTGTAATGGTCTTTGTTAGTCATACAAAAGCTTTGAGGACAGATATACCTGGGTTTAAATCTTGCTTCTATTTCATACTAGTAAGTGACTAATAACAAGTTATTATTGTTGTCAGTATCAATAATATCCATTTTTACTATCAATATATTAAGTGCTTACCATAATGGGTCATGTACTATACCAAGTGTTTTATGTATATATAATCTCATTTAATTCTCGCTATTCAGAAATGATCACTATTAGGCTTGTTTTATTAAAATGTTGCAATTTGAACCCAGATCGACTGAACTCAAAGTCCATGCTTTTAACCATTCTATGATATATCACCTGGACCTCAACCTCATCTGTTTGTAAAATTAAAATAATGATAAGTACATTTGTGACTCTGAAGACTAAATGAGACAATGTGTATGTATCAATCAGCACAATCCCTTACATGTAGCGGTCACTCAGTAAAGGACACTGTTATTATGCAGTCATACTCACCATACATTTCATCTTCCAATCCATGAACGAAGGCTCCACAAGCTCCCGACTCGATCAAGTTCACAGCCCCTGTGTCTATTTCTTCCTTGGGAGCATCATCTCCCCACTTCCTGCCGCTGGAAAACTCCCCTGAACTGTAAAGTTCCTTGGCACGCTCATGTGCAGTACGTTTCCTCTGCAGAGGACAATTACAATTACCACTTGCAGGAGGTTCAGAAGGAACAACAAGATTCACCCGAGGACAGGGGTGGCAGGACACAAGACTGCTCTCCCAGAGTTAAACTTCCAAAAAAATAATAAACTCAGTAGATCAGAGCAGAGAAATGCAAATCCAACTTAAAAACCAAAGACTGCTGATAGTAACCTTATTTGGGGTCATAACCTTATTAAAGACAGTGAAAGAATGTGTTGATCAGACAGGTGCTCATGTTTGCAATGAGAACACATGAAAGGAAGAACCAGAGAGGTAAATGACTGCAGTGGCCCTCCAAGCACCATCCTGGGCAGATAATACACTGGTCCTACAGAAGAACTATTTTCAGTCCCATTAAAACTAAATTTCTATTTGACAACTCTGTGCTCTATCTGAGCAACACTGTGCTCCCAAGTACCCTTCTAGTAAATTCATTTTCGGCACAGACTGCCTAATGGGAAATATACGGTTAGCTAAAGTAAACATCCAATCCACTTGAGAGTTATGACTCATCATAAATGAACACTTTATACATCTACTTCTTATGAGCATTCTTTTTGGTGAGAATCCACATCCTTGTGGCTGATCATCTGGAAGGCACTGATGAATTACAGCACCTGAGCCTCCAGGATGTGGGTCAGACCCAGCAGTACAGTTTGTACCTGGTGACGTGTCTGAGGACCACCAGTCCCTTACCATTCACCATGAGAATATCCTTTTTTAAAAAATTTTATTGATTATGCCATTACAGTTGTTCTATTCCCCCCTTCATTCCCCTCCACCCTGAACACCCCCTCCCCCACCATTCCCCCGTTTAGTTTATGACCACGTGTCTCAAGTTCTTTAGATTCTATATTTACCCTACTATTCTTGCCCCCCCCATCTATTTTCTATCTACCGTCTATGCTACTTATTTTCTGTACCTTCTCCCCCCTTCCCCTCCTCCCACTCCCCTGTTGCTAACTCTCCATGAGATCTTCATTTCTATGGTTCCGCTCCTGATCTAGCTGTCCGAGAATAACCTTCTTTACACTTCAATCCAGGTATACACAAAGAACACTTCATCAATCACCTACCTCAAATGAAGGCATACTCTTCAGGACTATCATATGGCAGTATTTCATATCAACTTAACCATTCCTTAGAATTTATCTTATTCTACCAAGTAATTCAAAAGAAGATCTAATATGCACAAAGACCATATTCTTTACATAATTTATTCAGATGGAAAAATTAGGAGAATCTAAATGTATAATAAATAGCTAAAAAGTGATGGCAAACCTACTTAACAGAATATTATGAAATCAGTAAATATGCTAAGTATAAAGTTGGCAATGTGGGAAAAAGCATATGATATAGGGGCAAATGTAAAAAGCAGACTACAAAACTAAAACATAGACCATAAAACTATCTGCATACAATATTTAACACATACAAAAAAGAAAAAAAAAGAGCTGGCGTGAAATACACCACCAGAATGGCAAAGTGGATACGTTTTCTCCCTTTTCTTTCTACTTATCAGAGTTCTGTATGTTTTTATTATTGGTTTTATAATTTAAAAATTAAGATATTAATGGTGAATGTACATACCACATTCTCAGACTCATATTTGATCCTGGCAACTATATCAGAGAACTATTACAGTAAAAGGTTAAAGGCATTCCATAAGAGGCATTTTCTTACAGTGCAAGGAAAAATTTACTCACTCTTCTATGGGAACTGCTATTGGAAAGAAGTCCTAAGATGTAACAATCCAAAAAATAAAACCAGACCTTTGTAATTTCTAACAAACAAAAAATACTGGCACTTCTTTGTAAAACACAACTTGTGCAAAGTATTTCATTATAATAATTTTAAATTTAATGAAGTAACTTGTAATCTGGTTCAAGTTACTAAGATTTTAAATTAAAATGTAATCTAATCACCTCATACTAGTTTAACAAACACATGGGCTGCAAAGTTAAATCAACATCAACTTGGCATATGTTGTTACATTGATGTTAGTTACAGAAACCCAATTTAAACAAGGAATTCAAGTTACCCTCAGATCTGACATCAGCTTCTTGTCAAGTGTCTGCTCCAAGAAATGAGAACTGACTTGCTCCATAGAGCCCTGTAAAAACAAAGAATCCAGAACAAACTGAACATCTTTTAAGACCTGAACATTATCTTAATAGTCAAAGTTTGCAACCAACTTAAATGTGTGAAGGTAACATTATTCTCAATACTAAAGGTGCCTATGGGTTCTGAATCATCAGGAAAATAATAAAAACATTAGCAGCAGCAGCACCTAGCACCTAAATAGAGCTTATTGTGTCATGTATTTTTCTAAGTGCTTTATACATACATTACTCATTTAGTCCCCTTCCAAAGTAAATAGTATTATTAGTTCCACTTTAAATATGGGGGTAAAGAAGGTACACAAACATTAAGTAACTCATTCAAGGTCACAAGGAGTGTAAATTATAGAGCTGGGCTATAAACCCAGGTCCAGAATCTTTTGCCTTAACTCTTCACTGTCTCTCCACTTCACTCTTTCCATTCATTTGTTCATTTATTTGTTCTCTCTAGAAAACTAATATTTATTTAGCAACCATTCAATTATATGCTTACAGATACCAGGAGTGGGAATACAAAAACTAAGACATCAATTTTACACTCAATGGCCTCAGACTAGTGACGGAAACTGACAAGAGGTAATTCCATTATGGTATGAATTGCAATACACATTTATGAAGGGCACTATGGGAACTCAGAAAACAAGCAGTAAGGGGTGATGGCAGGGAGAACTGGAAATCAAAAGTGCAAATCATGAAGTGAGACTGCCATGCAGGAATCATCAAATGGTTCTATGAAGAGAGCACAAGATGGGGGTCCTGAAAATGAGGCAGTGAGTACAGACAGGTGGGGATAGGATTATAAAGGGCCTGTTTGCCAAAGTAAGGCATTTACCTTGTGAATAACAACTACATAATCTCTGTTGAATGGTTAATGAGCTCAATGACGTACTAAATATTCCACTTATATTTTAAACTGTACTCCCCCCATCCATCCCATGAAGAACATGCATGGTCCTCATTTTTTAGATGAGAAATTGAGGCTGAGAGATTTGGTAACTTGCTCTTTTCAAATAAGGGAGAAATAAAGATTTACACCTCATAAACATCATCTTGGCAGCAATGTGGCTAATGGACCAAAAGGAATCAAAAAGAAGCAGAGACCAGTTAAGAGGCTATTAAAGTAAGACCTAGACATCTTAAGGAATATATTGGACACCTTCTCTCATTCCCAAGTTAGAAATGTTTAAACAGGCTCAGACTTTTTCTCCAAGCACATTTTCCATGGAAAGTTCCATGTTCTTTGGGAATAGCCTCACCCATGTTAACACCTTTCCTGAAACTCTAGGAGAGCAGCAGTTGTACTGTTTTGACTTAAGGAGATTTGAAACTGCTTTTTCTTATCTCTACGCAGTACAGTTGGTGGCCTTGTATGTTATATAGATCTGAGTCAATATGAGATCTAACATTAATTTTTTTAAATCCAAAACATCAATTTTATGAATAAAAAGTATAAATTTTAAAATATATTTTATTAATTATGGCATTACATTTGTTCTATTTCCCCCCTTCATTCCCCTCCACCCTGCATACCCCCTCTCTCACCATTCCCCCCCCCCTTAGTTCATGGCCATGTGTCTCAAGTTCTTTAGATTCTATATTTCCCGTACTATTCTTGCCTTCCCCCCTATCTATTTCCTACCTACCATCTATGCTACTTATTCTCTGTACCTTCTCCCCCCTTCTCCTTCTCCCACTCCCCTGTTGCTAACCCTCCATGTGATTTTCATTTCTATGGTTCTGCTCCTGATCTAGCTGTCCTCTTAGTTTGCTTTTGTTTTAGGTGTGGTTGTTAATAACTGTGAATTTGCTGTCCTTTCACTGTTCATCTTTTTTATCTTCTTTTTCTTAGGTAAGTCCCTTTAACATTTCATATAATAAGGGCTTGGTGATGATGAACTCCTTGAATTTGATCTTATCTGAGAAGCACTTTATCTGCCCTTCCATTCTAAATGAAAGCTTTGCTGGATAGAGCAATCTTGGATGTAGGTCTTTGGATTTCATGACTTGGAATACTTCTTTCCAGCCTCTTATTGCCTGTAAGGTCTCTTTTGAGAAATCAGCTGACAGTCTGATGGGAACTCCTTTGTAGGTGACTGTCCCCTTAACTCTTGCTGCTTCTAGAATTCTCTCCTTCATTTTAATCTTGGGTAATGTAATGATGATGTGCCTTGGTGTGTTCCTTCTTGGGTCCAACTTCTTTGGGACTCTCTGAGCTAATTTTTAAAGAGCTCCTCACTTTCTCTCTAGTTTTAGCACCAGTGTTAACAGTTGGCTTTTTAAGGGGCATTTTTTTTTCTGACAAAGAAAGTTTTAATGACTCCATACTATATTACTCAATCCACAGTTTCAATCAATGCCCTTCAATGCCTTCAACTAAACTCCCTCCCAACACAGTTGGCGAAGAGGGGGTACTATTAAATTCCAGCCTTACAAATTTAGATATCATTATTTGTAACAAATTTCCAGTGTTACCTAAGAATAGCCAAAGCTTTCCATTTCAAATCCACAAATACCAAGAGCCCTATACAACAGTAATCTACTTGAAAAATGGTCAGACCTGAACTGGTACAGGCCTTGCAAAAATAGAGAAAGGGGTAGAGCTGAGTAGATTCACAGTATGTCAAGAAGGCAGAACTGGTAACAGCTGATGACTCAGTGGATATGGGACACAGAAAAGATAATTCCAAATACCTCTAGGTTCATGACTGCATAGACCCTTAATCACTCATGAAAGCATGGGAAAAGCAGATCTGGACCAAAAAGATAAAAGTATATCTCAGCAATCATAAAAACACCTATAGTTTTGGCTGCCGCCTCCACAGCCATGCTGCACCCAGGTTCCCAGCACCACCTCCGCAGCCTGCACTGCAATGATGGTGGAAGACAGCAAGTCTGTGGATGACCAGGACACATGTGGGATGGACAGGGACAATGAAGAGGAGATGGAACACGCCAAAGGAAATCTCAGAAGTAATATGGGTCCAAAAAAAAAAAAAAAACAGAAAAGAAAAAAAATGAAGAAACTGAATTCCAGAGGCACCATGTCAGACAATGCATCTGACTGCCAGGACATTAAGAAAGCAACGGGGCTGTTAATGACCTTAGAGGGCCCCACCAGAACACCGATGAGGCTGCCAAACACTGTTACCAGGTTGGGGACACACAGCCAGTACCCAAATTGAATCAAGTAGTAATACCTCACAGTGCAATTGAAACTGATAAAGACAAGGTACATCAAGAACCTCACTCCTTTCCACAGGGTTTTATGTGGGCCACTCTAGATTTGGGTAATGCTGAAGTGCTCAAGAGGTTGCACACCTTGTTCAACGACAATTATGTAGAGGATGACATGTTCTGGTTGACTATTTGTCCAAGTGCCTGCTTTGGGTTCTGTATCCCCCGGGCTGGTTTCTTCAGTGGCACTGTGGGATCACAGTGTCTTCAAATAAGAGACTTATAGGGTTCATAAAGGCCATCCCAGAAACCATTGGGATTTATGACAGGATAAATGTGCTGCATTTTCGCTCTGGGTCTCCAGTCTAGAAAATCAAAGATCCCATAGTGAAAGTCAAAGATCTAATGAATAATAGTGTGAAGATAGTCAAAATCAACTTTCTTGACTTCCAGCCAAGAGGAAGGTATGGGTAGGCACACTGTGCCTCCTTGCACAACCAAAATAAGGGCAACAACAATTTAGAAACAAAAAAACAACCAGACTGACAGAAAATCAACTGTATGGAAGTCCAATGACCAAAGAGTTAAAGAAGAAACATTCATCCAGACCAGCAGGAGGGGTGAAGTCAGGGGAGCAGAGTCAGACAGCTGGGTGAAGAGTGCTAGGGCAAAGCAGTAGTTCACAGACACCAGGTGCACAAGGCATCAGCTGGTAGACCCAGCGAGGTGGCAGACTGTGGAGGGGCCCAGCACACAAGGTGGCTGGTGGGATAAACCAGTGAAACTGGGGAGCAAGACAGACCTCAAAACCCAGGGTCCCAGTGCAAGGAAATAAAGCCTAAAAACACCAATTGAAACCACCTATGGGGGTCGAGGTGCCGGGAGGAACTCCCAGCCTCACTGGAGAGACCCACAGGGTCCTAGAATGTACACAAGCCCACCCACGGGAATCAGCACCAGAAGGGCCCAGTTTGCTTCTGGGTAGTGGGGGAAGTGACTGATATCCAGCAGAGAGTGGAGCAAGAGCCATTGTTCCCTCTTGGACCCCTGTCCCACATACAGCGTCACGACCCAGCAACTGAATTGACCTGTACAGGCGAACACCTAAGGATCCACTCCTCACTAAGTAACAGGTGTATCAAGACAAAAACAAACAAACAAAAAAAATGGCCCAAAGGAAAGAACAGATCAAAGCTCCAGAACAAATACAACTAAGCAACCAAGAGATAGCCAACCTATCAGATACATAGTTCAAAATATGGTGATCAGGATGCTCACAGAACTGGTTGAATTTGGTCACAAATTAGATGAAAAAAATGAAGGCTATGCTAAGTGAAATAAAGGAAAATGTACAAGGAACCAATAGTGATAGAAAAAAACTGAGACTCGAATAAATGGAGTGGACCAGAAGGAAGAAAGAAACAACCAAACAGAAAAGAATGAAGAAACAAGAATGCAAAAACATGAGGAGAGGCTTAGGAACCTCCAGGACATCTTTAAACATTCCAACATTTGAATTATAGGGGTGCCAGAAGGAGAAGAGGAACAGCCATGAGTGGAAAGCTTATTTGAACAAATAATAAAGGAGAACTTCCCCATCTGGCAAAGGAAATAGACTTCTAGGAAGTCCAGGAAGCTCAGAGAGTCCCAAAGAAGTTGGACCCAAGGAAGAACACACCAAGGCACATCATCATTACATTAGCCAAGATTAAAATGAAGGAGAGCATTCTAGAAGCAGCAAGAGATAAGGGGACAGTCACCTACAAAGGACTTCCCATCAGACTGTCAGCAGATTTCTCAAAAGAGACCTTACAGGCAA